ATGATGCATGCAGGGGTCGAAGTGTCAGGAAAGGAATAGGAATGGGAAGGAAAGCCCCACCATGCATTGAACCTTTTATATTCTATGTTGAAAGATGGTAGTGACAAGAGCGATTAGAAGTATTCATTTGCTCAAACAATAATTAACTAATTCAAATTCAATAATCAATGTTTTTAATATATAGGGTGTAAGACTATCTATTCTTTACCTCTTTCAAAACTGTAATTGACGAATATCCTATACGCAAAAGAACCTAGATTAGTCCATTGCTGTGTGATTAGATCCATCAACATTAAAAAAATCTCAAACTGGACTCACTTTGAGTAGGTTTGACACACAATCCAATCATGTGGCAAAATGATTTTTTCTAGTTTTAGATTATGTTGTGGCCTACATTAACCTCATATCTGGTAGCTGGACTAACTTGAACTAAGAGAAATCTATCTTCTGACCCCTCAATGAAGGGATTTTGTTTATAAAACTCTCCAATGGAAAACATAGTTAGAATAAGTAGCTAACTAGTTTCAACAAGGTTAGTATAAACTCCTAACTAATTTTACCAAAACTGAGTACCAACTTGCCCTAAACAATCAAGTATGCAAGGTTTTGATCATTGATCTCAATTCTATAGTATCATTTTATTTATCGCAACTAGACACCTGTTAGAATTGAACACGAATCCTCATATGCCAATCCATATGCATGGCTTAATATAGGGTTAATCTTAACTTGCATTCCAAAAGATCACTTAATTCTCAATTTACACTCTCAAAGTTTAAAACTATTAATTTAAACCCTAAAAGATATAAATTCGTATCAATGTACAACTGAGGCTAACTCTATCCATTTTTCCGTTAAAAAAATTTGGGTTAATTATAAATTATACCCTTCAAGTTTAAATATTTCATATTTATGACCCAAATAAAATTATATCCATTAATGTTGGTTAAATATCTCTCAATTATATCTTATCATAACATCTTTGTGTTGTGTTTGAGTCAATAAAAAAATTTTAAAAATTTTAAAAAATTATAGAATACCTATTTTTTGTCTACAATACTCGTTAAAAAACTATTTTCTGCTATTGTCAGACACAAATCTTTTGATTGTCCGATCAAATTAAAGTTAAATATAAATAATACAACTGTAAGTAAAAAATAGTTATTTAACAACTATTATAGACAAAAAATTGCTATTTTTTTAATTTTTAAAAAATATTAAATAGTATTATATGAATTATTGTAAATGTGAAATATAAGACACAATGCAATTAACTTGATACGAAAAATATTTTTTGTTAAAATTATTTTTTTTATTGACTCAAACACGACACGAAAATATTATGATACGTACAATTGAGAGCTATTTAATGAACATTAATGAATGAAATTCTTTTTGGGTTATAAATGTGAAGTATTTAAATTTTGAGAGATACAATTTATAATTAGTTCAAACTTTTTAACGGCAAAATAGATGATAGTTGGTCTCAGTTGAACATTAATAGATATTTTTATCTTTTAGGATATAAATTAATATTTTTAAACTTTGAGGGCACAAATTAAAATTCAAATGTTCATCCAGGATGCAAGTTGAGATTAGGCTCTTAATATAATCACCAAAATGACCCTAGACATATAAATATAACAATCATAGTAAGTTAGTAGCCACTAGAGCAGCTAAATCTGTACAAGTAAAATATCAGTGTCACGGTGGGGACTTGCAACAAATACTTATCTATAACAAGTAAATAAGTTGGGGGTTCAAATCTATGAATCTAACCTCTACAAACCAGAGGCAACGTCGTATATACTAGTTAATTAGCTTTATCAAAACCCATTATATAATCCAATTGCTGCATGGAACTTTCCTAGGTAAGCACTAACATGGTTGAAAAATGTAATGGAATATAATGGTATTTTTTTTTTGTTTAAGCAATAAGCTTCCTAATTCAACGTCCATTGCTGTTGGCTTGCTGATGTATTCATGAACCTACGAAGCTCTAGTCGTGAACATGCGTCGAAAGCATTCTTATAACCATATGAACGTTTGAATTTGTTTTGAGCATTGACTGGCCATTATTATTATAAACTAGTATTCTATACACATTATGAGCATGAGAGAGAGTTCATTGAGTTGGAACTTTGGGCACATGTTGTTATTTTTATCATTTGTAAGATAGGTTTGGTTTAGGTCAATTTTTGAACTACAAGAAACTAATGGGCAAGAAGGAATGTATATTTTTAAGGACTCTAAGTGGGAAAACATAGAGAGGAAAGATGGGCAACAGGAATCCAATTTCGGGATGCTTGATGATGGGACAGCCAATTTTGTTCAGGCTGGTTACCAGGGCTTTTAACCAAAACCATTCGCCACACAAACTGTATTTTTATATCCACTCTATTTTAAACTTATTTTTTAAATTCAATTTTTTTTTTAAATGTCATTCAAAATAATGCATTCACAGTTTAAAAATATCATTTGGAATGGAGTTTTTAAACTATATAAAAATGTAAAAAAAAAAAGATAGCTTTTTAAAATCAACATTTGAAATGACGATTTTATAGCGATGGAAAGATAAACGGTTTCCTAACGGAGTTAGGGCTTAATAAACCTGTACACTTGAAATAATTGTGAGTAAAAGGAGATACTCAAATTAAGAGTAAAACCCCGTATATATAGGCAAAATATAAAAATCATAGTAAGGGTAAAAAAGGGAAAAGAAATCCTAAAGGGAAAAGAAATCCTAATAAACCTAGGAAAGAGAAATCCTAATAAACCTAGACTATCTATACTCCAACACTCCCCCTCAAGCTAGGCGCAAAAATGTCAACTAAGCCAAGCTTGACAACGGAGTCCCGAAGAATAGACAGAGTGACAGGTTTGGTAAAAACATCCGCAACTTGATCACTGGTCCCCACAAACGATGGAGTAACAAGACCACTGCTGACCTTCTCCCGAAGAAAGTGAACATCGATCTCTATATGCTTCGTTCTCTCATGTAGTACAGAGTCAGAAGCGAGCTGAATAGCAGATTGATTATCACAATATAATGTGGATGGAGAGGTCACTGAAAAACCCAACTCGTCAAGAATCGATCATCACATGCTCCCCCATAATCTGAATCTGAATAACAGGCTAGAGAACCGGTCTGAGATCCTGATGCATAAAACAACCCAAGTCCAGGACAAAACTTGAGGTACCGAAGAATATGATAAACTGCATCAAGATGAGGCTGACATGGCCTATGCATGAACTGACTAACTCGGCTGACTGCGAATGAAATGTCCGGCCTAGTATTGGCTAAGTAGATAAGTCTACCTACCAATCTTTGATAAACTGTCGGATCTTTCAACTCCTCACCTTCAGCAGTAAGCTTCAGGTTTGGAATCATACGTGATAATGCCGGTTTGCACCCCAACATCCCAGTGTCTGAAAGAAGATCCAAAACATACTTTCTCTGAGAAAGAACAATACCTCTGCTTCTACGGGCAACCTCAATCGTATGACTACATCACTGAAGCGAGAGAACCAGGCTCGTGGCGACTGTTTCAGTCCATAAAGAGACTTACGCAGTCGACATACCTTTCCAGACAGTCGACATACCTTTCCAGCATACTCCCCCTCACCACGAAAGCCCGGTGGTGCATCCATATAAATAATCTCGTCCAGATCACCGTAAAGAAATGCATTCTTCACATCTAATTGATGAAGAGGCCAAGAGTACTCCGCAGCCAGAGAAATAATTAACCGAACAGTAGTCAATTTTGCCACGGGGGCAAATGTAGCACCAAAATCACGACCTGGTACCTGAGTAAAACCCTTCGCCACAAGTCTGGCCTTGTAACGATCAATAGTACCATCCGCAAGAAACTTCAGGGTGTAAACCCAGCGACAGCCAACAGGCTTCACCCCTGAAGGTAAGGAGACAAGATCCCATGTATGATTACGCTGAAGAGCGTCCATCTCTGTCTGCATGGCAAGAACCCACTGGGGCTCCCGCATAGCTTCCGAAATAGAGCGAGGAACTAGCGTATCTGATAAGGCCATAGTATAAGCTCGAAATGTGGGAGACAGATTACCATAAGAAACATAAGCAGAGATCGGATATAAAATCTTTGCGGTCCAACCATATCGATCAACTGGACGGCGATCATGCTGCGAGAAGGTGGCTTAAGCTCTGGATGGAGCTTCCAGCAAGTAGCCCTGAGATGTCCTGGTCGGCCACAATAATCACATTGACGGGAATCCCCCCGTCTGCGCTGATCTGGGGCGCCCTGACGGCGCTGGTCTGAGCGTTGCCTATCCCTGACTAAGGATCCTGAACGGTCATATCTCCCTGCCGAGCATATGAGAGCTCCTGAGAAAGCTCATAAACACGAACTCCCCGTCCTGACTGAGAATACATCTCTGATAATGCGCTCCATAGCTTCGGAACAGAGCTATGAAACTAGTGGATCTTGCAAACAGAGGGCTCCATTGAGCCAAATAACCATCCAAGAATGACACAGTTTTCAGAGAACCATGCAGAATATCCAGGGTCGGCATCAGCTGGCTTTGGGTGAGATCCCGTCAGCCAACCAAGCTTCCCTACACGGCCTAAGAAAAGCTGGAATGAGCGTGACCACTCAGCGAAGTTACGACCATTCAACAATTGTGCCGTAACTTTTTGAGAGATCATGCCCGGTAATGCTGGTAATGCAACTGTGCTAGTAGGCACTGTATACTGGTCAAACATAAAAGTGGAAGTACCCATAGATGTCTCAACGGTAGAGGTGTCAACAGTAGGGTTCTCAAATCCCTCAGTAGTAGCCATATCAACAACAATACTGGGGCACCCGTGACAGAAAAATAACTCTAAGATAAATAGAGGAATAAAATAAGGGAGAACAATATACCTTCAGTCGAACAGTAGCGACAAATAGGGAAGGTCCAAAAAGCTCCTAAATAATCAAGTCACGGTGCCCAGAAATCCAAAATATATAAATAAGTGATCTACTGCATCAAGGGCAGATCAACAGAAAAGAGGATCGGTATGGACTGGTTGAACTGGTATGGATTGAGGTTGCTGCAAGTGTTGGATACGAGATGGTCAGTGACAGGGCAGTAACCATGGAAACTCCAATAGCAAACTTGTCCATAAGATCATCTTCAGTCAGATCAAGCACCTCTGGGTTAAAAACTGAACCATTGTCATAAACAGACAGAACTTGCAGACCATTTTTCACAAGATTTGCAGCAATTTGGTCTTCATTAAGGGAGACAACACTGAAGTTAGCCACTTTGGCAGCGATCTTGGTCTTGTCAAATTTGCAGGTTCCACCATCAATACCGGTGTAAACATAATCTTCTTCTCGCATGAGTCCACCAGCTTTAAGAGTGTACTCAAAGGCACTATTCATCAGCCCACCATTGCACCTCGAGTCACAAGCACCTGCTTCCTCTGGATCACACTCGTGGTCACAATCCACTAGTTGTTGCTCGCTAAGGCTAACCAGCTTCCCTGTAGCGAGATAATTCGCACCTTCCAATGCCCCTGTCGTACTAAACGACCAGCACGACCCACACGAACCCTGATTCTTTACGGGCGTGACGGCACCATAGTCTCTCCAATCGAAATCCTCGGGAAGATCACTCGTCGGAAGGATCGGAGCCTGGTTCGCATCCTTCGGAATCTTCAGCTTACGCTTCAATCCGAGGAAATTCCGGCGAAACTCAGCCGGAGTTAGATCGGAGAACTGAGTCACCCCGTGGACCGCCGATGGATCAAGCTTCTGGAGGCGCTTCGCGCGGCGCAGGTTAGCATTGAAGACCGAAAACCTGTAATCGTGCTCCTCCTTTGTAGCATAGCTTTTGCCAAACCTCCTCTTGAAGATCGAAAAATGATGATCGGCGTTCAATAGATGATCGTCGCCGACTACTTGCCGGATTAAGAGATCTTCGGTGGTGTTCACCTCGTCGTCGGCGAACACGAACGACGTCGCGAGAAGGAGAGAGAAAACAAAGAGGAGACCTAATCGGAGAGCCATGGTGTTTGAGGTACAAGACTAAGGCCCAAAATTGAACGGAAGAGATTGGGCAAAAACGAGGGCCAAGACGAAGCGACGGCTTGATCAAGGCGGACAGCGACGACGCCGTCACTTTAACCTCTCCTATTCACTTTTAGGTTGTTTGCTGAAGAAAGAGAAACCCTAACCACTGGATTAAGGTTGTGGTGGACTGGTATAAGGATGGGCAGTCGGTGGACTGGTTTTGTCGCTGGTTTGGTCGGTTTCACTGGGCAACTGATGGCCAGGGTGGTTTCGGCGGTATGGCTGGTAGAGCCATACACTAACCCTACCCCAAACCCTAGCTCTGATACCAACTTGAAATAATTGTGAGTAAAAGGAGATACTCAAATTAAGAGTAAAACCCCGTATATATAGGCAAAATATAAAAATCATAGTAAGGGTAAAAAAGGGAAAAGAAATCCTAAAGGGAAAAGAAATCCTAATAAACCTAGGAAAGAGAAATCCTAATAAACCTAGACTATCTATACTCCAACATGTACTGTAACTATAAAACGTCATTTAGAATCACGATTCTAAAGTCGTCATTTAAAATGACGATTTTAAAGTCATCATTTAAAATGACGATTTTAACGACGTTATTTAAAATGACAATTTATGTGAATTAAAATCAAATTTATCCTTTCCCAAATTCACAAAAGCCCTAACTCTCTCTCTCTCTCTCAAATTCGAAATCAAAAATCAACCTCTCTGACCCTCTCCAGTCCTCCGACGAAGCCACTCCTCAACGAATAGCATCCCAGGGAAGTTCGCAAAAACCAAGACATAGCAGTGTTCCTCCAACGAAGCCATTCCTTCACTCCTCGACGAATAGCATCCCGGCGAAAGATTTCGAAAAAACGAAGACCATAGTAGTGTTCCCCTCCTTCGACGAGTTCTGGCCATCATCGTTTCTGTCCACAACTCCCTCTCCTCTGACGAGTTCTATCCTAGTGTCCCTCTCCTCTGACTTAGGTACTTTAAGCCTCTTTTCGGCCATGCTCATATTGATTGTATTTATGATATACATTATGAACATGATGCTGCTTTGGTCTTTTGTTTTTGAGCTTAATGAATGGAAGACAATAGTTTTTAATTTACTCACTACTGGCTAGGGCACATTCTTAAAATTTACAACTGGCTAATGAATTTTGTGTGCTAGCAATGAATTTACAACTAGCTACTAATTAGTTCAACATCTACTAATGAATTTTGTTGTTCAATGTAAGACATCTTCAGTTGTCATATATGCTATAAGATATCGCAGACCTCGCAAGTGGAGTGGCTTAGTGAACATCCTCTTCGTTTTCCTTTTTTCCTTTCATTGTGCCTTGGGTGACTGTGCTTGGGGATCCCATGCCAAAGGTGTTCTTATAACCAGTGTTTTTAAGGACCTGGTCCTTATGTCATAGTGACTTATTTCTGATGAAGTGAGAGTCATGAAGAATTTGGTAGTTTAAATATGTGTAAATTTATTAAGTGACAATAGCTTGGAGCAGCCAAGGGAATATTTCGTTGATAAGTGCAAAAAGTACAACAATTGGAAGAAAAAGGCATGGCTTGGTAACATGGTTTAAATACCATCGTACATCTTTTTGTTGATTGAAGGGTTTTTATTCGGCGACAAGTTTTCGACTAAGATGAAGTGTCACACCCCATCTTAGTGTTTTAAGGATAAGACGTGATTAGGTTTTTGATACGCCTGTTTACGTATATATAATCTAAATTAATAAAACACCAAACAATCTCATAGGTGCAACAACACCACCCATCACCTTAGTCGTTAAGTGTGATGGTAAAACTTGTCTTATAACCTGTATCATATATAAAACACTTGTACTAATCGTTTGTTTCTGAGGTTATAGACAGATACAAAATTTCACACCCACACATCATACATCACAAAGTATGTCTGTTAAGTCTGTTTACAAATACATATACTATTAATCTGCTATAATAATCTCTCATTTAACATAGTATACAACCCAACAAATAATTATACAGTCCCTTAACCAATATCATTTACTCATTTAAAACTAAATACATAACGAACAGAATATTATACTAACGTTGTACAAAACTAAACCCTTTTGACAGTAGACTGATCTGTGTCTCCCTCTCTTGTACTTGTAAAGGAGAAACTATAGAGGTGTGAGCTAAACCACGCGCTGAGTGAGTATACATGCCGTATATGAAATGAAAATGATAGTAATACACAAAAGTTGATAAATACTACGTAAATACACGTATCAAACAACAATATCCATCCAATTCCAAAGCATTCACAAGCCACAATACATTCATACTACCCCTCATTGAGTAATCGATCCCACATGGATCTGTGTCTCCTGAACCTCCTGGGAACATTATATTGCTAGCACACCACTGCACGCCCAGTGATTAGGCATCGAGGCTCCTGTCTCAAACAGTGCGCCACATTTTCACAATATACAATACACAATACAAAGTATCATTCAATCATATAAGCACATAACACATAATCTTGGAGAAATGCTATAAAATTATGTCATTTAATAACATGTTATAATAGCATTTTCAAAACACATAAAGATATACACCCACCTCAAATATATCGATCTTTGGCCCTTCGGTTCTATTAGTGGGTCCATCTAGTGTTATTGTATTAGTTTGAATACCGACTGTCTCACCCGTTGTACCTAACACATTGATAATTATAATATCAATATGTTTATCATATTTAATAGTTAATCATACACTAATGCATGCAAAATGATGCACCCAAAGTGCCCCGGTAACTCCGGTTTTCATACTATCCACTCATGTACTGGCACATTAGGTTTAGGGGCCATATTTTCTCCCTAAATCTTTAAAATCATTCACATTAATCACAATTAGGATTAAGTAGGTCAGCCACATTGACCGAGGGCCCATTTTTACACATTTCAACCCAAAATCCTAAAAACTGTACTTCTAACATTTCATACATTTCACACCGGATATTATTTTCATTTGCGTTCGAAATTTACATCATCACATCAAGTATCAATTAAAAATGTAGCATGCAAAATTTTAGGTCATTTGAATTAAAATTCACATATGTAACAATAATATTTAGAAATCAGGGTTTCGATAATATCAGCACTCATTTCCAATTTCTATCGTACTTTTTCTTTTAAAATTACTACATTTAAATTCACATACACATTTAATCAATGTAAAACAACCCCTAATTGAACCTTTAAACCACCCATTTCATTGCCAAAATTTTCGTTTTCAACCTAGCCCACAAAATACTTCCCGAATATCTCAAATGATCATTTCTACACTTTTCGTACACTCGATTGAGTACTTATTTAATACGCCTTCTTAACAGCTCCTAAATTTTATGTAACACCTTTAATAAAATATATTTTGAACTTAAAATAAAATAACCCATTATTTTAACACAAAACAGCCCACTAATTATGTTTAATACACTTAATTTAAACTCACCAAAATATACTTTGAAATTACACTAAAACAGCCCATTAAAATTAACAAAAATAGTCCATGAAAGTAAATTAAAATAACCACTAATTTAAAATAAAACAGTCTCCACATGTACATACATACCAAAATTTATCATACATACCTTCATTTTCTTTGTTTTTACTCTTATTCTTTCTCGGTTTTTTGCTTATGGTTCAAGAGCCACACCAACAAATATTTTTCCTCCTTTCCCTCTTGTTCACTCCCACTACGGTTCCAGTAAGGAACCAGGTACACACACACACACTAAATTCTATATTAAACACACACACACCCTTTTACTCTTTACATTACACACACATACACTTAGCACCCACACACACATGCACTTGACTTTTCCAAAATTACCCACCCATCTCTTACTTTGGCACATATTAGGATGACTCATCCTAATTCACTGACTACACTTGCCTCCCCCAAGTTCTTAAGTGATTCAAAATCAACCTAATACTATTTTCAAAGACAATATTCTACCTAATAAATAATTTCACATGATTGCAATTAGTCCACATAATCATGCTAATATGTATGCAATGCATGATTGGGTCTCACATGAAGCTTATGTTGCTACCATTGCTCGTAGACCTACATGCGACCTGCACTTTTACTTGGGGGCAGTTAGGCCTTTTCATGGTTATTTTGGGAGATGTGTCTCGCTACTAAGCGGGACGTGAAAGATATTAGCGGTCCACTTATTTTAATTCAGGTAACTGCTTGCATTATTCACTTAGTTGCTTACTTTGATGTTCTTGTAACTGTATATATATAAAAATATTGTACTGTGTATGTAGTTGTGGGCATGAGAGCGACTAATACACATTATTCTACAACATGTGCTACCACGACAACGAGTCGCCCATGGTGCAGCGGCGCACGATGGGGCTGATACAGGGTTAGATGGAGTTGGTGGATGGGGACCCTGCACATGACGTTGTTGATGCGCACGGACTACATAATGGTCCCCTTGGTTATAGGTGCGTAATAAAGATACATTGCAATCTAATGTGTATTTTACGCGTTATTATATATTTATATATTTGTTGAAATGTATAGATGAGATATAATATTTTCGGAGTAGCACACTCCTACCCATTTACTACGTCACTATCAGGACCAGATGCGCGAGGATCAGGTATATTAGCTTAACCATATCTTACGAACTCAGATGTTCATTGTTAAAGTTTGTTAATGTATTGGGTTAATTGCATTGAATTTACATGTGAAGTAAGTGAATGTTGAGATGGTGGGATGTTTATTTATATTTGTTTATGCCTGTCATTGAGTTGGGCGTGTTGTGTACAGGTTGGCAAATTTTGGAAATAGATGAATTTTCAAAAGAAACTTTGCCCAATTTTTTTAAAAATACTTTTACATTTATTAATGATTTCTCACATTTTGTATTGCAGATGATATGGGAGCCATATACTACCGAGGTAATGGGTGGCCTACCAGAGATAGCATTGTTACCGGAGACTTGAGTACCGCACCGATGAATCTGACCGACGCATACATGCAATGGTATCGTCACATCACTCGGCGGCTTGTTAGTCCACCCATCTCTAGGCTTACTGTCAGTTTTCAGCTAGTTGGGAGCATCATAGAGCTGCCGATAATATGTTGTAATGTTTTTGTAGGAAGACACACTTACACGGATATACCACACTACACGTGGTACATATGAGGGCAACTCGGACTAGACATATTGCATGGACACCATTGGGTGTATCACAGATATGAGCACCTCATGTTTGACATCCATTTGTGAGCATCAACGACTTGTCGACGCTTCAATATCAGCAACTGATGTTCTGTCTACATCTGCACAGCCACCTCCTGATCTTCACCATGATTGTTCTACTTCTTTATCTTCACCCACATCGGCACTTACATCAACACCGACACAGTCTCATGCACCCACATAGACTCCAACGCCCACACCGACGGTGGCACCTGCACATATACAGGCACATGCACTTGATACGATACTGACACCGGCAGAGGCACTTGCATCACCATCAGTACTGGCATCAGTTCCTGCACTCACCCTAACACATGCGCCTACACCGCCACCGCCACCGACATCGACACCTACAGCGGCACATGCACCCACGTCGACCCTAGCATCGACACCCACATCAACCCCGACATCCTCCCTGACACTGACTGTAGTTGCGTCCACACCTACACCAACACTCACTTCGACCTGACTGTAGTTGCGTCCACACCGACACCAACTATATTTAAAGTTACACTTTGTCATACACATGTGGATTTTCCTATTTCCACTCCACCACTAGTGGAGTCATCACACACATTCCCTCCTACATCTTCTAGACAACCTCTCTTTCCAGATTCATTGTTAGATTAGGAGGGAGTGACACAAGATGTTGTAGTTGTAGGTGTAGGCCGAGTGCGAGCTGGACCGTGGGTTAGAGGTGGACGATAGTCTCAGGGACAGGGGGCGAGGTCGTGCACAACATACACATTATCACAATGACGTAGGTGTGTCACTGGTTACACAGGTAGCACCATAGGATGTTGAGCAGGAGGTTCACAG